GGTGACCGCAGGTCACAAAAATAACCGTCGCTAAACCGGATGGTATAACACGCGGTTCGGTTCAACCTGCAGTATAATTTTGAACCGACGGTAACCGACGGTAATTACAAAAAACGTGTGACGTGGGCCGTCAGCTTGGATGTCGAAGAAGTCAATCCAAGTACCCTACAAAGATGTTACAACTAATTTCAGCCAAAATATGAAACAAATAGGTTCAATTATACATCAAAATAATCACAATAATCAATTCATTACTCAAACTGAAATGTCAAAAGCTCTTACAAGAACACATTATACTGCATCTCCGTCACAACCAGTTTGCGTCACAACTCCTTCCTTTTTGAAGCCTAAAATTCACGATATTATGATTAGTTATTCTCACGATGATAATGATTTATGTTTTAAAGTGTACAAGAGACTACTGGAGCATGGATTTCGTATCTGGATTGACAAAGAAAACATGCATGGACAACAGATGAATGCAATGGCTGATGCAATTGAATCGACACACTTTGTTCTTTTGTGTATGTCAGAGAGTTATATGAAAAGTGAATATTGTGAACATGAAGCAAAATATGCAAAACAATGTAAATGTACATTGATTCCGCTGATAATGACAAAAGGATTTCATCCAACAGGATGGTTAGGATTTCTAACAGTTGATCGGAAGTATATTAATTTTACAAAATATGAATTTGATGAAGCCATCAGTATGTTATTGGATGAAATTGAAATGTACAGAAGTGTAAGAGAACAAAACTGGTTTAAAGCACAGTAGAGAGTGGGAATCAAATAACTGAATGTACTAAAACATTTAACAGTTGCTTTTGAGCGCCTTATATCGAGTAAATCCTTATATCTAAAATCAGTGTTGTATCACTAGATTTTTGAATTCATTTGTAGGACGAGAAGGACGGTATGTCTTCAGTTGTTATACAGAATGTTATGATCTGAATTCTATTTATCGGTCGTTAAAAGTCGCTCTTCTTCTGCTTGTTAGTCCTTTCTCATCTATATCTATATTATGGATTTGCGTCATCATTTGTGTGATAATCTTTTCCTTAGTTTATATATGATTGAATATGTTAAGGCACTACTTGCTTACGCGTAAGCAACCTCTACACATCTATGTAGAAGAAGAAGCTTATTTTTATATCTAGAAGAAAACAAATTTTAATCGAGACCTATGATTGAACTTTATGTGATGAAATGCTCGCATGCGGTAAACATCGTAAAGCGGATTAGATAGAAACTTTTCCCGATTGAACTCGGAATTATCAACACAGGAGAGGTCCTTTATATGAGTTCTAGAACGGACATAATGCGCGAAAGTGAAGATGATCAATATTTTCGCTCCATTTCACAAAATAGTGGCCGTCGATGTTTTTTAGTTAACTTTTAAACGAAAAGAGATAAAGTTTTTCATCTATACAAAAATTAGTGACAGGGCTCTAGTGAAAGTGATTTTCTAGGAGATCTCTTGAAAATCATCTTAGAAGTTTGGATAGATATTTCAAGGTTTTTCTCATTGGAAGGTAGCCTCAAGTGTCTGCTTTAAGGCGAAAGTCAAATGACACCTTCATACTCTCGTTTGTACAAGGTTTTACATATAATATAACATAAATACTAGAAAAAAGTTTTAACCGGAGAACGAGATTTTCAGAAAAAAGGCGATAAAAAACAATTTTTTTAAAAATCTTTTACCCTAGACTCATGTGTACAGTATGAATAGTATACCTTCTGAATGTTCGAGGAAGCTTAGGGGCATCTTTTATAAGCAAAATGATATTCGAAATCGATTTTTCTAAAAGATCTTTAACAGATCATAACCCAAAAGGTTCAAAAAACAAATATGGTGAATTTTTCTCATGCGTATATAGCTGAAGGTGTCCCCTTCTAAATGGCAGCGAAACGTCGTATTGATTGTCGGTAGCTCAGGCATGGTATCCGGTTTTCCTGGAGCGCAGGACTGGTGCCCGATGACTTCCGGTAGCCTTAAAATTGCATGCAACATAGATAATTCACTACGCTAAATCTCGTAGCAATGTTTGTTTTGGTAAGAGTTTAAAAACGTGGTAAAAATCGAGTTTTACGAAAACCGGGGTTTCGAGGCTAGTTTCACCTAACATTAAAAAATTCACAGTTCACGCAGACAGGGTTGAAAATAGAGATGAGATGATTATCGATAGTGCCGCATATCTTGTATCTTTTCGTTCTGTTCCTCGTACGCCTTGTGATGCGGCATAATAGACAGATGATACGATAGACTTTTGTTTTCTTTCATTTCTGTCGCTTATAAACGATAGAAAAAATGGACTAACTGAACGACTTTCTCGAAAGTTACTTATTTTTTGTAGCAGATAGATTTGTATGCTGAAATTATGATGTAACCGCATTCAAATGGTTTGCTGTTTATTGATGAAACTTATTTTCTTTCTCTTCTTCTTCTACTAGCGATAATAAGCGGCTATCGTATGAATTCGTCGTGCATGTGCGAGAAGAGATATCTCCAATTTTGTTAGATGCCTTATATAAACGATAACCGCCTATCGATTAGGAAATATATACGATAGACGATAGAAAATAACAAACTTATAATAACGCGTCACTTTCAGAATAGAACGAACAAAACTATCGAAACACTTTCATCTCATCTCATCTCTAAAGCGATTGCGCTGAGTACAAATATTCAAGTGCTATTTATCGTTTGGTTGTTCCATAGATTGAGAATCTAAATATCGGGTGGTGCAGAATAAATTAGGCTGGGACTATTTTCAATTTTTCTCCTCTTTTTCATAATTAATCGAGTAAATTTTTTTACTAAAAGATAGCTTGTTCAATTCTCTACAAAACTTGTATTGACTGCTTTATTGCAAAATCTGAAGATGGAAAATGATATGAGAAATCCTATGGAGTACGAAAATTCAGAAAAATTAGTCAAACAAACGCGTTTTAAGTTTTATTCGCTAAACGTTTATGGGAGGAAGAAAGCTGAAGTGGCTATCGGATAGGCCTTGGAAAGCTGTATCTTCCACTTTCGATTAAAATATTTTTATAGTTAGAACTGAGGGCTTAAGCGTAACGATTGTTTTTTGAAAAATTTCTAAAAATGATCGAGCAGGAATTTGCATCATTCGATAAAACAAGTATAGTCTAGTAAAACTTCATCCTTTCAGATTGAATTTTTTTTCATTTTGAAGACCAATGATTAATCTATATTTTCGGATCAGTAAGATATGAAAAAAAGCTTCCTAATAATAAAAAGCATGTTATTACGCATAGATAAGGTCGAAATCATTTTTTGTTTTCGCCCGGTTGCTAATAAGTCAATCTTTGCGTGGGATATTTTCACTCAAAAGAAATTTTGTTGCATGCCATGAGAGAAAGCACACTCGAAACTGCACAAAGTTTACTCAAACCGTGCTCTGATGCTTGTGAAACCATTTCAAAACATGTAGCTTTCTATGAGAAAATACGTTGTTCTTTTCTGAATTTTCGTACTGCATAGGATTTCTCATATCATTTTCCACCTTCGGCTTTTGCAAAAAAACAGTCAGTATATGTTTTGTAGAGAATTGAACGCGCTATCTTTTGGTATAAGCTTTCTTCTGCCAGAATACAAGCGGCAGAGCCGTTTTAAGAAATTTGTGATCCCTGTGCTAATCATTAACGTTTTCAACACATCAATTTATATTTTTTTTAATAATAAAAAAATCAATGCTTAAGCCGTTCGATTGTGCCCCTAAGTCAGTCGGGCTCCTGTGGTATAGCACAATTAGCACATAGGATAAGCAGGCACTGACAAGCGGAAAAATATACCATTATAGTATTCTAAACTAAAACTATCGAAAAACACAAAATCAATTTTGTACGAATAGAGATTCGAACATGTGAACTTAGCTTTGCAGAAACTGCAAAATTAAATTCGCTGTTCTGTGTCTATATTCAGTACAACGATTGAAGTTGTACAATCGACTCGATGTTATGAGTAGTGATTTTTTTTCGTATGTTTTTTGTGTTTTGTTTAGTATAAGCTTTCTTCCAGTAAAAGAATTTTCTTGATTAATTATAAAGAAGAGGAGCAAACTTGAAAATACTAAGAGTCTAATTTATTCTGCGCTACCCGCTAGTTTGATCTAGTAAAACTCGAACGAACAGCACATTTTCAATAAATGTGCGATTAGGAAAACCTACGCCGTTTCTATAGAAGTCGTTAAGCTGCTAAATACACTAAGTGTTTTATAGATCTACTTTCATTTTTAGAAATAATGTCGGTTTCTCTTCACAATTATGCATTATTATCGCAAGCTCTTTCGTATAATACTGGAAAGTACAGGCCTGAAGATAGTTTATCTAAACGAACCTCATTCTTAAATGATTTGGCACTATTATTAAATGGATCAAATGTATGTACTCCTGTTTATCCATGGTTGAAGGAGAAAGTTATATTGATTACTCGTAATGAAAAGTTAGAGGAAATTGACTTGTATTATTTCAACCAATTTTTTTCGTTAATTCGAGTATATTTGTCAACGATTAATCAAACAAATGGTCATAATGACACACTTCGTGATGTTAAACACATAATGATCAATCTCGTTAATAATTTCAACAAAGAAAAAATAATCAAGTGATTGTTCAACTATCTTTTTGACGATGCAGTGAAGCAATTGTTCCAATTAACAAAAATCGATGATAATGAAAAGCAACAAATCATTAATAGTGTAAAAACAAATGTTAGTATTTATACCAAGAACAAATCAACAACTGAATATGTATGTTTAATTAAAGAAAATATGACAGTTGAAAATTGTATTTCATATCTTGTTACCCGTGTTGAACGATTATTAGACTTACGAGATATAATTAAAAGAGCTCATAAAAATCCTCTTCATACCGATATCAGTAGACTACAAAACTGTTTCATTATTGTACGAGTCAACGATTTTCAAAATTTTGATTGTTAAAGATCCACGAGTGTATTATTACGTTGATAAAATATCAGCTCACATGAGAGCTCTCAATTCCATATTAAAATGTTTACAACAAAATCAAGCAAGGTGTGCATATATTTATAAAGAAATTACATGCAGAATTATTGATCCGTGTGAAAGATGTGTGTCACTTAATAATGGATCAACTGAAGTTTTTCGAATGTTATGAAATGGATTGTTCCCTGATGTTGATCCACAAGATTGTATCAATAAAGTTTTGGCACCAAGTCTGAATAAAGGATATGATATATCAAAAACACTCGACGTTTGTGTACATAGCGAATTGCTAGTAATTAATTATTTGCTTAAAAATCAAATAAACGAAACTGAGGGTCAATTAGATGTTCAAATTGGTATATCGAAATTGTCATGTCAGCTATGTTCTCTATATATAAATGAATAGAATAAAGAACATAAACGAGTATTTTGTTTACCGGATTCAACACATGGAAAAGTTTATCAAAAGTGGGATTTCATTCCAGATGAACAGCCACAAATAAAACAAAATGTCGAACGTATCGTGATTGAACAAGTCGAAAAATATTTAAATGACATTGAACGCGATAAGAAGCGATCGGGCATGAAGCATACTAGCGATAGTGACACTTTAGACACAGTGGGGGAAATGGATGAAATTGATGCGACGTTTGTCCATTCCCTGATGGACAAGCTAAACACACAAAACCGGATATCATTGAATTTCTTTCTAATCATACTCCACAATATGGATGCTACAAATATTCCCCTTGTATTCACATCCCTATAAAAAAAATTCCAGTGCGGC